CAAATTACTCAATCCTAATGTCATACACAGTTCTTGCACAGTATTTTTATTGATAATTACTTGCTGGCATTATATTCACATAAAAGAAGACCAATATGGACATGGCTTTTTGGGCAGGCGGTTTGGACCTCTCCTGTGTAGCTCTTTGCCTTGTCAGCGGAGGTGAATCACTAGTGGGAGCAAGATCTAAACTGAAGCGGGTGTGTTTAATTACCCTTGAAAAATGGAAAGGTCAAAATAGGACAGAACTGACAAAGTCAATTCAGGCTCTGGGCAGAGTCCGAGTGTCAGTCCTAATTCTCATGTCCCTTCCCTTCCCTTCCCTTCCCTTCCCTTCCCTTCCCTTCCCTTCCCTTCCCTTCCCTTCCCTTCCCTTCCCACTTACCCACACTGAGGAAGCTCTTATACCCCTGCCACATATTCATCACAGAGATATTATATACAGACACACACACACACATGCAATCTGTACATCATAACACTTTGCATATGCACATCTGGTGCATAAATACACACAGAGGCACATTAACAGAATCAATCAAAAGCTCTCTCTTTGACACTCCAGTTTTTCTGATCATTAATCACAGACATCTGATATCTTTTTATCTCAAGTCAAAGATTTTCAGTCTCCTTCATAGTGATCAATACACTGGGACTGTCTCACAGCATCCATGGATTTTTATGCCAGAGATCTGACAGGACAGTAACCGTGTGATTCTGACCCATGTAAGAGGCTTTGGGTAATGCATGTGTAATACTGCTTCTATTATATCTATAATTCATTTGCAGCTCGATCTCTTGGGGGACCAGGGGGTATCATGGCAGATGCTTAACAACCCACAGGTACAAGAGAAAGTAAAGGGAGCTACAATCAGCTTAAACATCATGTAAAGATTATGCTCACTGGGACAGAGAATCTGGACTAACACGCCTGTTTTTGTGAGAAGTGTTGGGGGATTTTAATGGCCATAGGATTCTTGACTTTACAGCTTAGTCAGGAATACAATAGCCATGATAACATAATGTAGTGATAGTATTCTTACAACTACAAAGTTTCAAGGATGTACAAAAGGAAAATTTAGCGTGGGGAAGTACTACCATTTATTAGACCAATAGAGACACATGGGGAAAACCAACAGAGCTTTCATGCACAAAGGCCTTTCCATAACTCTCAGAGAAAATAGATATGAAGCTAAGTAGAGCAAGGTGTAATTGCTCTGAGTTTAACATGATCATGTTAATTGTTTGAGAGAAAAGGTGGCTGATGAAAGCAGCTCCTATGGGACACAGAGGGATGGGTTATTACTGTCCAGGTAACTGTGTGGGTAGCAGGATGTGCTGCATGTGGAAAATGGCACTGTTGAATCATGTACAGCAAGTAAATACAAGGGTGCAGCTTGAGATAAGAGATTTCTGCAACACATTTCCCCAGTTGCTCTGTTCTAAATCTGAACCCCCTAATTCCAACAGGTACAGCCCTTTGGGGGCACAGGCTGGTTCTTTCTCTTATGTTAATGTTTTAAATACTGACATTTTCAGCTTTCCAGTTCATGAACAGAGAGCAGAAAACACCAGCTTAAAGTTGCAAGATATTGTGACATTCTACACAGAGTGAGGATTGCTGCATCTATGGATACAGTCAACAAATCATTCCATTTTTCTGTTGTCTGCAACACTGGAACCCACTCGAGGGAGATGAGAAATCAATTGTACTCAGGCCCAACTCCTTAAAATAAAAGTGAATAAGAAAGAGAGATTCTCGGGATAAACTTAGAAGGACTATTCCAAGATTATTTGCCCTTTCCCCTTAATAAAGACTGGCAAACTTTCCTTAAAAATTACACGTTTTTGAGTGATAAATACTGAGAAAGGACAGAAAAACCTGAAGGGAACTTTTTCTGAGCATTTTGTCATGCTAAAACCAAAAATTCATTGGAAAGTGATGACAAAGGCCAGAAAAGAATGGAAAGGTCTCAGAAGCCAACTTCTTGGGTTTTTTTTTTATTTATTTTTTCCATACTATAGAGTTAGTCAACCTTAAGGTGCCTTTGTGGAGCTATAATCAGACAAAAGCACTGTTGGCTAATATGCCCCATTTTAGTTTTAAGTCTCTTGCTTCTTTAAAAACAAACAAATGCAAAGTGTTTTGAAGATGACATAGAACTAAAACCATCAGAGGTTTATGTATGTGCTTCAGATGAAGTATATATGGTCCTTTGAGTGGTGGATTCTTTTCTCCAGTCATCAGTAGACACTGACCCAAGGCTATGTCTGTTTCTGAAAGACATGCTCAGGTTCACAGATGATTCTTTCCTTCTGTGTTGATGAGGTGTCCTCTTCTGGAAGTGAAGGTGGGGCCAAATCACTGTCTCATCCTCTGCTTCATGGTTGGGTAGGTGTATGCACGCACCATAGAGTGCTTGTGGAATGCAGAGATTCCAGCATATCCTTCACATGTGACTAGTCTATGTGCCACCTTTTGAATGCATATGAGCAGGCAGCAGCTGGGCACATCCTTGAATGTTCCCCACCAGAGATTCAGGGAATTACAGGATGCCTCCAGAAATATATCTCCTATCTGCAGCTTTCTCTCTGTGCATATCCAGGGAGACCTGGTGAAAGTTGGTGGCTAGGAGGGAGTTGAGTCAGCTTTGAGCTGGTGGAGTTGTTCAGTTGAGAGCTGGAAGCCTTGTGGGGATTTCTGCATACCTGAAACTGAGTTGAGTCAAAGGCTCACCACAGAGAGGGGTAAATCAACCCCAAGCAAAAACAGAAGTTCAGGTTTTTAAATGGAATCCCTCAAATGTGTTTGTGTTGCAATCACTCAGTGAGTTATGGCTGAATAGGCATAGCTGACCCTGCTCTGGCTGCAAGGTAAAACTGCTCTGACACTTATTGTGCTTAGATTGTTTAAGCTTTTTGTTGGTTTGGGTCTGCACATGTGTCGTGGTTCAACCCCACCCAGACAGCTTGTTACCCACTCCCCCCCCCCCCTTTCTTGCCCTCCCCTTACTCCTGGAGGGACGGAGAGGAGAATCAGAAAGAATGCAACTCCCATGGGTTGAGATAAGAACAGTTTAGTAACTAAGGTATAACACAAATCACTACTGCTACCACCAATAATAGTAATGATAAAGGCAATAACAAGGGAAGAGAATACAACACCCCATCACCAGGCCCCCCCCCAGCCCGACCAAGCACCGACCGATACCTCCTCCAACCCTGCAGTCCACCCTAGCCCCTTCCTGGTAACTCCCAGTTCCCTCCTGGGCATGATGTGCTGTGGTATGGAATACCTCTTTGGTCAGTTTGGGTAAGGTGTCCTGTCTCTGCTTCCTCCCCGCTTCCCCTCCTCCCTGGCAGAGCATGAGGCTCACAAAGTCCTTGGCCAAACCAAAACATCATTGTTTTTCAGCTCTGTTCCCAGCTGAAAGTCAAAACACAGCACTGCACCAGCTACCGAGGAGAAAAAATGACTGCTGCTGCTAAACCCAGGGAAGTTATAGGAGTTTGGCTGACACACCACAATCCATGAAAGCCCTGTAAAGTACATCATATGCTTCTATCCAAAGAGGAAGAAAATGAAACATAAGCTCAGTGCTCTGCAACAGTAAAAAAGAAATGGAGAACAGGTAGGTACGCAGAGTGTGTTTCTAAGCAGCTGCAAAACTACCACAAGCTCTGAGATTTTGGATGCTGTATTTGTTTTTTTATCCTTATAGACAAAGCAATGCAACTCGAAAACATAACATGTATGAAATAAATAATGAAATAGGTTCCAAAGCAAAAGATATGGCTAAAGCTGTCCATCACTGCCTTCTAAAAGAGGTGTTTGCAGCGGTGGCAAGAGAGGAGACAGGGCTAGGTGGGCTAGATGCATCTTGACCTTTAGGCACTAGAGCTGTTTGTATGGTCTTACTGGACACACTGAACAGTGCTCTTCTCTGGTTCATAGCCATGAGCTAAGAACAGAATCAAGGGATCTTTGCTCTGTGGTACTTGTCTGAGCTCTGTCTTGAGTCCTTTACAAGTTTTACTCCTGCCTTTGTTCAACTCCAAGGAAACCAATGGCTCTGTCAGCCTTTAACAACAGCACGTGCAAGGACAACATTTGTAAGACAAAATGATGAGAGTAAGATTCCTCCATAAAGAAGAAGAGGGTTCTTGGCTTTATTAGAAGGTTTGTCTGCACCCAAGAAGTTAATAAATATTCACCGAGACTCATCAATGTCAAAACTAAAACCAAACAGGAAAATGGCAATCTCTCTTTTGTAAAGGAACTTGTTGAAATAACTGCCTAAGTCTGCCCTCTGTTTACTAAAACAGCTTCGGAAATCTCTAAATCCATTTATCCTGAGGATTATCATCATCTGGTTTCCAGACAACATTCTCATTTCCTCCAGTGAGGTTTTTTGATACCTTAGGCCATTAGCTGTGGTATTGATCTTTCCTTAATACGTGAGATTTCCTACAGCAAAGGCAGCTCTGCATCTAAAAAACCCCCAGCCAACCCGGTTTTATCTGAATAGCCAGAATAGCATTTTGATAGAGACAAAATTTAACATTCTTTGGCTTTTGTTTATAATAAATATAACAGGGCAGGCTCTGAATTCATCCTCTGCCAAATAGACTGAGCCTGTTATCAGGCATTTGGGGAAATTCTGTTCCAGAGACAAAAGTTCATGACATGCTAGCCTTTCAGCTTCTAGTGCCATGGCTGGATCCTGGGGAAAGGGTAGCACTTAGGGGTACACTCTCTGAGATCTTCCTATTCCCAAATCCACCCTCTTGACAAATCCTGTACAGTGTTCCACAGAAAATTAGCAACCAAATTCCTTATTCATCCTACATCACCTGATGACGCTAGTCAGGATGGTGCCTCTGTAATAGGAATTGAAGGAAGAAACCTTAAGCAAAGGTCTGATGAAGAAACTCAGCACACCTTTATTCCTTGTTTCCTGCTTTGCTGCCCTGTTTCTGCTTTTATCTTCCACTTATAGGCAAGGTTGGAAGTCCACAGTTATTCCTCCACTTGAGGAAAACAATCCAGTAACTTTGGGAAGAGGGAGATGGAAGCATCTGGGAAAAGAGGCCAGAACATTTGGACCATAAGTGGCTTGGGCATGTGGGAATCTATTGCTTCTTCTAATGAACTAATTGGAGCTTGTTCAGAAGCTTAGGTTTCTAAGAGACTGTTTTCCCTGTAGCTGTAATCCCAGAGGCAGAGAACAAAGAGTTAAATTCATTAACCTTCGCTATTGGGATGAACTTGTTTTCCTTTGTCATGAGCCCAAATCTGTAGATAAACCAGGCTTGTTTTACCCCCAGTACCGTGATGTTCAGCAAGTCTCTCTCCATGACTTCAGGAGGGCCAGGAGACCTCCTTGGATGGATAAGGAGCTCCTGAGGAAAATTCAAATGAAAAAAGAGTTTTATAGAAAGTGGAAGCAAGGACAGGCGGCCTGGGAAGAGTACAGGGATATTGTCCGGGAAGCTAGGGACCAGGTTAGGAAAGCCAAGGCCCAGTTAGAATTAAACTTGGCTAGGGATATTAAGGATAACAGGAAGGGATTCTACAGGTACACAGCAAATAAAAAACAGATTAGGGAGAATGTGGGCCCCCTCAGGAAACTCTCAGGTGAACTAACTACACAGGATTTGGAGAAGACTAAGGTTCTGAATGACTTCTTTCCCTTGGTCTTCTCTAGCAAAGGCTCTGCCCACACCACCCAAGTCTTGGAAGGCAGACACAGGGACTGTGAGAATGAAGACCTTGGGCCCACTGTATGAGAGGAACTAGTTCGAGACCATCTTAAAAATCTGAACGTGCACAAGTCCATGGGTCCTGATGAAATCCATCCGCGGGTCCTGAAGGAGCTGGCGAATGAAGTTGTTAAGCCGCTGGCCATCATATTTGAAAAATCATGGCAGTCAGGTGAAGTTCCCAACGACTGAAAAAAGGGAAATATAACCCCCATTTTCAAGAAGGGGAAAATGGATGACCCAGGGAATTAGAGACCAGTCAGTCTCACCTCTGTGTCTGGCAAAATCTTGGGGCAGATTCTTCTGGAAGGCATGCTGAGGCACATGAAAAACAATAAGGTGCTTGGTGACAGCCAGCATGGCTTCACCAAGGGGAAATCCTGCCTGACCAATTTGGTGGCCTTCTATGATGGGGCTACAGAACTGATGGACAGCGGTAAAGCAGTTGATGTCATCTACCTGGATTTGTGTAAAATGTTCGACACTGTCCCACACAACATTCTTGTCTCTAAATTATAGAGACATCAATTTGATGAATGGACCACTGGTGGATAAAGAACTGGCTGAATGGCCACACACAAAGAGTTGTGGTCAGTGGCTCAATGTCCGGCTGGAGACCAGTAACGAGTGGTGTCCCTCAGGGATTGGTGTTGGGACCGGTCTTGTTTAACATCTTCGTCGGTGACATGGACAGTGGGATTGAGTGCGCCCTCAGCAAGTTTGCTGATGACACCAAGCTGTGTGGTTTGGTTGATACGCTGGAGGGAAGGAATGCCATCCAGAGGGACCTCGACACGCTTGTGAGGTGGGCTGATGCCAACCTCATGAAGTTTAACCATGCCAAGGGCAAGGTCCTAAACCTGGGTTGGGGCAATCCCAGGCACAGCTACAGGCTGGGCAGAGAACAGATTCAGAGCAGCCCTGCGTAGAAGGACTTGGGGGTGCTGGTGGATGAGAAAATGAACATGAGCCAGCTCCAGTGTGCGCTCACAGCCCAGAAAGCCAACCGTATCTGGGGCTGCATCAAAAGGAGCGTGACCAGCAGGTCGAAGGAGGTGATCCTGCCCCTTTATTCTGCTCTCGTGAGACCTCACTTGGTGTATTGTGTACAGTTCTGGTGTCCTCAACATAGAAAGGACATGAATCTGTTGGAACAAGTCCAGAGGAGGGCCATGAGGATGATCAGGGGAGTGGAGCACCTCCCGTACGAAGACAGGCTGAGAAAGTTGGGGCTGTTCAGCCTGGAGAAGAGAAGGCTGCGTGGAGACCTCATAGCAGCCTTCTAGTATCTGAAGGGGGCCTGTAAGGATGCTGGGGAGGGACTCTTCATTAGGGACTATAGTGAAAGGACAAGGGTTAACGGGTTAAAACTTAAACAGGGGAAGTATAGATTGAATATAAAGAGAAAATTCTTTCTTGCTAGGGTGGTGAGGCACTGGAATAGGTTGCCCAAGGAGGTTGTGAATGCTCCATCCCTGGCAGTGTTCAAGGCCAGGTTGTACGAGGCCTTGTGTAATACGGTTTAGAGCGAGGTGTGGAACTTGATGATCTTAAGGTCTTTTCCAACCCTTACTATTCTATGATTCTATGATTCTATGACCCATATAGTCTTCATGGGAGGAGGGAGGTTCCTCCAAACATTGCAAAACATATTGACTAAAAATGCCTATCATGGAATAGGAAAAATATTGCAGGAATTTTCTTCCTGCTACTTTGGTTTTCGTTTGGTGATTGAAGCATAATGTTCAGCAGTTACAGAGAAGTATGATTTAAAATATATATACAAACATCAGAAGAGCCCTTCAACGTATGAAAGTCTTCATTAGCACCAAGGAGAAGTCATTATGGTAAAAAAGTTCAAATTCAGGTGCCTTAGGAAAGAATAAATATATACTTTATCAAATTTTCAGCATGTCTGAGCACCTGCAGATAACATTTAAGATGAGTTTATTACAGCAACCTAAATATGGATTAAAGGATTAGTTTTAGACATTAAATTGTGGAAAGTTTAGCTTCTGTAATTTACCAGGGCCACATGGCAAGTTGTTGGATTATATGTAGGATTATATCACAAATCTGAAGCAGGATGCAGGATGCAGTAGAGGTTCCAGGTTTGTCTTCCTTGTTTGCCACAAACCACTTCTTTCAGAAACCCAATAGAGAATGTTAAAAACCCCATAGGACTTAGTTTTCTTTCTTAAGTCCCTTTCTCAGTGGTATTAACAATTAGGAGTGAGCTGTCAGTATAACAAAACCCCAACGAAAACCAAAATCCCCAAACAGAACAGTCATTTTAAGCCACAGACAGATGCTCAGTGTGCAAACACCTCCACCGGTTGATGTCATTATCAAGTTCAGCTGCTAGCTTACCCTCTGAATTTGTAACTCTTTTCCTTTTCCCTTTCTTGCTCTGCCAACAAAATGAGTCCTGTGAACACTCCCTGACTCAAACTGTAAAAATAGGTGATTAGAGTTATTTTTTCTATTTTTGGTTGAAGAGAATATAACAGTGCTGAAACGGGGGCTGAGAGCAAGTAGGTTTTGGCTAGGAACATGAACAGCTTCAACATAGAGAAGAGAAAATTTGGAAGAGGACACTAGTTGTATGAGATGAACATACTGTATTCAACCTCACAGCCCCCAGACTAATTAGCCTGAGATAAAGCAGGTGGATTTTAACTTTTCTTTAAATAGTGAAGATAATCCGGTAGTGATTTAACAGTAAATGTCATAGCAAACAGATTCAGGACTAGAGCTAAGCCAAACAAGCACTATTCTTTCACATGTGCTTTCACGTGGCAAATCATGTATTAAACAAATACCTATGCTTTTCCTAATTAAAAGTTTCTGGCTTCCCTCTCCTTCTCCCAGAATGTTCCAGTAAAACCTCTGCATTTTTAGGAGTCTATCTAGTTATATGCAGTATCAGTCAGGGTCAAAGATCTTCCTTTGCTGTTATTTTGAGCCCACTTGCAGGACAGGAGCTGCACAAAATGTCAGCTCGCTTGTGGCTGGCAAAGGCTGTGCTTGAGCAGCACTTCAAAGAGGTAGCTTGGGGTAAATTCCTTCTCAGCTCACTGCGGGGGCCTATGTGATTCATAGAGCCCCTGATGATGCTGGTGACAGCTATGTAGCCAGAGCTGTGAGTATCCCTGTATGGGGAATAATGCTCTGAGATTTCACACAAGACTTCCTACTTCAGGCAAAGTTTGGGTACCTGTTAGAAAAATCAAAGCAGCTTATATCTCTTTTCTCATGCAAATAATATAATACGGATGCTGAGTGGCAAATGGGGTCAATAAGACATTCCCCATCGTCGTTACCTGCTTCTGGCATTAAGTGGCCCATGAAAATGTTACAGCAAAACCCCACAAAGTTCTTATAATAGCCTAGAACAACCATCTTTATAATTAATACAGTGCAGAGGAGTACGAAAGGCATGGGGTAGAATCATGTTCCATCAAAATACATTATTCCATTAAGATAAAAGAAAATAGTTATAGAAATCAGATGAGCTAATGAGAATTTTGCTTTTGAGAAAACTCACAGAACGCCCATGATATCAGGGCACAAATTCTTTTCTTTTTTGGAACTTAAATTTCCAGAAGGAGATATTTTTAATAGAAAAAAAAGTGAATTAAAATAATTTATAGAACATAATAAAGTTGTTAATTTTTTTTTTATTTTCTGCCTAAAGATTAGGTTTTGGATCACCTAAAACAATTTGTTTTGAGGAGAAGAGGGAAATTTGCTTTCAATGAGAATATCTACTTCTTTATTTTGCATCAATCTGAAATAAATTCTATTGTCTAATATTTTTCTATTATCAAAATACCTCACAGGCAAGAAATACTCCTTTATCACAGACCTGTGTTACAGGGACATGGGTAGTAGTTGTGTGTGACACAAGGGTTATTTCTGGTGGATAAATTCTGCAGTATCTTTGGTACTCTTGCAGTTAGGGACTCCGACTGATGAGTGGAGATGACTTATCTTGAAAAGCTGATGATGTAATCACTGCCAGTTCACTGCCTTCTTCCTCCCTCCCCTTTCTGCCCTACTTTACCCTCATCCTGCTCACCAATACCTCCACTATTTCTCAAAGAGCTCCAGGACTACAGCGCAGAATTTTAAGGGATCTAAAGTTGGTGCTGAGTTTCCTTAAAACGTAATGCTGATGGCTGCAGTGATGAGGAAGCCTAATGGATGAGCTGCTCAGATGTCTTGCTGTGAAGGGCAGAGGGGACTGCCAGAGGCAGGACTTTGTCTATTGGCATCTTAATTGCCAGATTGCAGAACTGCACATAAAAATTCAAACCCTGATGCTGCCCCTGGCAGCTTCTTGGAGTTGGTCTGATTTACACCAGCCTACAACACGCTGAAGAAAAGCTTTGAAGATCAGAGAATGATGGGCTTATAGGGAGCACAACAAAAAAGGTAGAATTTAGGAACAAGATCTATAAATTAACTGTGAATTTCAATAGCTACAG